GATCCACAGCGCGAAGTTGATGTATTTCCTCAGCGACCAGCACAGATCAGCTCTAGGCATGACGAAGCGGATATCGTCCTCTTTTGGAAGACCAAACAAAGTAGTTTCGCTTTCACAACGAAACACACGGCAACAACAATACTACAGCGAGAATCAAAGTTAGGCCTTCTTTCTTTACGTGAACATTTGGAAGGTGTTATGCAAATCTTCCCACATCGTGACGATCTGCTCGGCTGAATCTGCTCGGAAGAACGTCGGCGGCACCCCGATCGCGAATCAGAAATTCTGATGTGTGGGGGGAACATCGCAGCACACCACACACTATAGGAGCAAAACGGTTAAATCTAGGATTTTTTTGTCCTCATGTTTCGGTCTCTCACATTTTGAAGATCTTATAAGATTTTAAAAATCTTTTAGTGTGTACCCAGCATTAGATAGGTGACCCCTATCTTAAATTGTTGCTCCTCTCACGAATGCTAGAATAGGAAATACTAATAGTGTGAAGGGTTTGCTTCAACCCGAGAACTAAAAAAAACAACCCGTGGCAACAGAATAAAAGCAGCCCAATTCTGTGTGAAAACCACAGACTTGGCAACCCTGATTCTACACATTATGCAAGTTTATCTCACTTTATAAATTTATAAATATTTTAAGGTAGTGTTTCGGAGATGTCCATGTTTAATTATTATTATTGATATTATTATATGTTGGGGGGCCAGTGGGGTGGCCGGGGATTTTAAGGGGGTTAAGTTTCATTCTGAGTACCAATAATATTTCACTCTGTAGTCCCTAAACTCACCTCAGAGGACAAGAGGAGTGGATGTGTCTGCAGAGAAAGGCATAAGTTCACCAAAGGTCTGGAAGAATGATCCCAGGAGTGAAACGGAAAGCTTCTCTCTCCTCCCAGGCCTTCCTCAAACCTCAAAGATCTCTACCAACATACTTCTCATATTAAAAGAAAACAAGTTACACAAATGAGACAGCTGTTTCTTGTTTGTGATGACAGTTGCCATACTCCTCCTCCTTCTTCCTTCACTTTTTTTGTGAAGCATCAGGTTGTGCAATGACCCGGGGCCCTCACAAAGACTTTATCCTGATACCAAGCCCTGGTGCAGAATCAAGCAGTGATTAATATTCCTCATGCATTTCAGTATTTCACTAAAAAAGAAACAGGAATCAGACACTCACCCATTACTGCAGAGTAACAATTAGAGTATCAATTTCCCTAATAAGAAATCATAAGATATGATCATAAGTAGTTTACAGTGGATATACCAGTGTTCACACAAAAATGTACATTTGTCATTGTTTACTCACCCACACATTGTTCGAAACTCATCACTGTAAAAAATATTATCAGTATCTCAAAATAATTTAAACAATTTCAATAAAAATTTTTTACATATATGAGATTCAACTCAATTTTTAAAGTCTACTATAAAGTTGGAATTACTTGCGCAGCCAATTTGATTATACTTAAAAAAATTAAGCAAGCAACCAAACATAGAATAGCTCAGGCATCATTCAGGCATTCCAAGATGTAGATGAGTTTGTTTCTTCATTGGAACAGATTTGGAGAAATGTGGCATTACATCACAGATGGGTGCCGTAAGAATAAGAGTCCAAACAGCTGATGAAAACATCACAATAATCCACACGACTCCAGTTAAAGGGGTCATATGATGCTGCTAAAAAGAACATTATTTTGTGTATTTGGTGTAATGAAATGTGTTTATGCGGTTTAAAGTAAAAAAAACACATTATTTTCCACATACTGTACATTATTGTTTCTCCTGTATGCACCAAGAGCTTGTAACACTCCAAAGAGAAAGGAAAAAATGAAATTGCATCATATGACCCCTTTAACATCTTGTGAAGTGAAAAGCTGCCGGTTTTCTTTCTCTATCCTCTATTCATAATATAGCTTTTTCCAGTGAAAAAGTCATCTTGTCTGAATCAGGAGAGAAAAATGCACAGATCAAGCACTGTTCATAAACAGTTTTAACAAATATGTAGGTGGATTTTGATGGAAGAGGACAAAGGGGATGCACTTTTTCACTGGAGGAAGTGTTATTATGGATTATGGAATCTAGACTCTCATTTTCTGACGGCACCCATTCACTGCAGAGGATCTTTTGAGTAATGTATTGCTACATTTCTCCAAATCTGTTCCTATGAGAAACAAACTCATCTGCATCTTGGATGGCCTGTACATTTTCATTTTTGTTTGAAATATCCCTTTAAGTTTAAGTTGAAGGATGTGGAAATTTTGGTGGAACAGAAAAGTTGATAAATTACTTAGTGCACCTTTACACACAACAATCCCCATTTTCAGGTAAACACTAATGGTTGTCATTGTGAGCAGCGTGAATGAATTTAAGGTTCAAGCTGGAGCAGCGGCTCAGTGCAAAGTATTGTTTGAGCATGAACCACAGAGAATTCCTCTACACTGGCTCATCCATCATGCAGTGATATATAAGGCCTTCCAGCCTGATGCAAACCCCCTCTGCCTGGCAGTCAGGAATCTAAATTTGTATCCACATATCTCAGTGGTGATACAATTACTAAAACTATGGAGGCGCTTTCCATGTGGCCAAATATCAGATCCTGTGATCGGACACAGGTGTAGGGACAGGTGTTTTATTTTTACCAAAAATAAAAAAGAGGATATGGCCATAAACAGGATTTACACTTAATCCATCAACCTCAGCTATGCCGTTTAACCAACTGAGATCTCCCAGCCACCTGCACCGCGACTGCATGCTGGTATCACTAGTTTGGACATGGTTGTTCTGCATCCATGATATGGAAGTATGGTCAGAGAGATGAGCCTCTCAGCAGACGGGACAGGCTGTCAACAGATAAGCTGAGGGTTTATGGATAGATGGGACACCCAAGACACCTGAGGGGTTATTTGCTTGGTAGAGACTGAAAGAGATGGCCCATGGACGCGACACATGTATCTGAACACCATGAGCGAACTGGCGAGTCAAAATAAACTAAACTGAGGGATTTGGGGAGTCACTGCTGGCTTCTCTGCACTTAAAACATACACTGGGAAAAAAATGTGGTGTAGGATTTACACCAGAAACAATTTTAACTCAGAAATTGTTAGTAAATTTCACAATTAATTACAAAGAAATGGAAAGTAACATTTAATATTGTTATTATGATAGATATGTGATCAGGAGATGCATAGGTCAACAAGCAGATGTTTATGATTAGCGTGCTATATGCTTGCATGTTATTTTAGTCTGCAAAAAGGACTTTAATCATATAATATATTTGTAGGAATTATAATATATAACAATACTACACAGAACAATTTGTCATTTTACTGAAGGAAAGGCCCGTTCTTCGTACGTCGTTTATTACATCCGAGATTAAACTTCACATTCAAGATGATATCATTGTGCTAATCAGGATCTGGCTAACTCGGTTCTTCGAACGCACCTGTTGTTGATGATTAGTATGGCTTGATTGAGTTATCTGAGAAAATTGCGCATTCATGGGTTGGTTTAAAAGGGGCTATGTATCGATACTCGAAACCACGATCAGCAATGCAGCGATTGGCTGGCGGCAAGACAGCAACGTAATGACATCATATAATTAAAAAAGACACCTGACGAAAAACTTGACACATTTTTGGACTTTTATAAGAAAATGGTATAATAGATAAATTAAATGTGCACTGTTTTTATTTTATTTTATATTTTTTACATGATTCCCAATTATTTATATTCACGATTACTAGTTTTTGTACAGGCTTTACATTTTTATTTCAATGTAGTAATTAGCAATTCATTTAATTTTATATTTGAACAGATTTGTTACGTGACAGCATTAATTAAAGTTTCTTAAGGGTCAAGATCATGTTATCTGCATCTCCTGCGCTCCACCAAGCCACTCCCATAATAGCTGTCAGCACTCAAGTTAATGCACGACTCTACATTATCTGTACAGGATGTGTGTATGTGTGTATTCAATGTTTTGAAGGGTTGCCATGTCTACTTACTGTAATGTGTAGCATGTGTGTAAGACTCGAATACAATTATAAAGTAATAATTTTATGAATCCAAAAACGTATTTTAAATGCAAAATTGATTTCCGTGCGCTCGAAAGACTTTTTTCTTTGCGAAACGAACATTTTCTCCACAAACTCAGATCGCGCGTGTGCAAAATGCACTTTTGTGTGCTCAAAATATGATCTTTCGCGCGCAGAATTGTGGCAGAAATGTAAGCCCATAAGGGCGCAGCCTTCTAAATGAGACACAGCTCCTGCGCTCCACCAAGTCACTCCCATAATATCTGTCATCACTCAAATTAATGCACGACTCTACGGGGTATCAATCAGATGCGATCTAATCCTGTTTACATGAAATAAGCTGCTCCCGAGCAGGTTTAAGCTTACAGACCTGTTGCTATGACAGCAACTCCAGGATGAGCTTCGAAGAACCAAACAATCCAAGATCATGCCAAATCATCAACAATCAAATCCAGCTAACTGAGTTAGCGACGTACGAAGAACGGGCCCCTGGTGTCTGTTTATATGTTTGACCACTGAGCATCACAAATTCACGAAACTAAACATGTTAAAATGACTTGTTCTCCATATGGACATTGTTTGAGAAGTTTTAACTTTGTGCACTCAACATATAGACATCATAATGGGTCACACCAGACAAACATAAAAAATTGTATGTGCTAATAGAAATTTTTTCGATAACTTTTTGCCAGCATGGTCTAGAGCTGACATGTGCAAATTTTGGTGAACATCTGACAAACGGTCTAGGAGGAGTTCGAAAAAGTAGATTTTTTTAAATTAAATTAAAATGGCAGATAAAGTTTATAGATAATCATAAAAATGTAGATGTATTGTTTGGGGTTGAAGCAGGATTCATAAAAATGAAGAATGCTGATTTTATCACACGGTTGCTGAATTATTAGGTAAAAAGTTACTTATTATAGCACCACCGTGTGGCCATTTTTTTAAATTCTGTACTCCATTTTTGTAAAAGTAGGCCATTCAGATTCATTGTCATTTAGAATGTTGTAATATTTATAATCTATTTAAAATCCTTAAGTACCTTCTGTTAGAACCAACCGCCGCCCCAAGCAGTTTCCACTCAGTATCCTGTATTTTCTCATTCATGCATGTTTCTTTATCACTTTAACATGTCATAAACTTTAAGCAGTCCTGCCCTTGCGGCTGTATTTACATACAACGATGTGCAAAATACAGCAAATTATATAATTCCCATCAAATATCATTAGACATGAATTCTGACCACAAATAATAAACCACAATAGACCGGACCACGTGATGCATTCGTTTATTTTTATTTTTTTCTAATCTCAGCACCTCTGCACCAGCTATTATGATGTCACATTTGGAACGTCTTGCCTTTTTAAAGGCTTGGAACTCAGTTGCTCATTTTGTAGGTTGAAGTTTCGGAGTATTGATTGATTGATTGCTATCTGATTATTATCGAGTGCCAAATATTGTTATCATGGGACTACTTTCACGATTCATGATTGTGAAAGATTGTGTAGAAGAACCATGTGTTCTTCTCAAATACACCACTAACACGGCGGAGAAGCATCATTCTCATCGGCCTGATGAGGCGCCTGTTGTTGCTGGTGGTGTTGGTGGAGGAAAGGAGGCAGAGAGAGAGGAGAAAAAGAAAAAGAGCTTCTGGAGGTGGCCTGCTCTCCGCTGTCCTCACCGTAGAGCCACTAAATACGACCTGGCTAAGGCCGAGAAGTAGTACCAGACTGAGGCCGGAGCATATCGGACGTTTACCAATGGTACAATCAATGGTTAATGGCTGATTCTTAAATGACTTCTCCCTTTTTATAATAAATAATCACTGACCCAAAACACTGCTGTCATTATCACACCAAGAGTGATCTGAAATTAAAGATTTGCATGATCTGAGAATAGCTTTATTAGGTGTCAATGTTAGAGATTTAACAAACTAATTCACATTGTTTGGATAAGTTGTATTGTTTAAGAGATCACGCCAAAAGTGAAGAACCACTCTAATTTGAGTATATAACATTTTTCTGATTTATTTGATTTGATTCATATTATTGCTCCAGCTTCTGAAGTCAGTCCTGCAGCTGAGGAACAGCTGGAGTAGGACGTCCCAGACAAGGGTAAGAATAATAAATCCATGAAAATTAGACAATGTTATTATGAATTATAAAAGAAGTTCAAAGTGCATATCTAAAATTCATAAAATTTCATATTAACGGCAATTGTTTATCTTTTAATAGGCCACATTCGCAGCCGTTATAAAATCGGCGACAAGCTGGGTCAAGGAAGATTTGGCTTTGACTCGCTGCAAGGATGGACTTAAGGTTTCTTTTTTTTTTTTTTTACTTAAACTTTGCATATCTCTTCAGAATTAATGGCTGGACTGATATGACCTCTGTGCATATGCTAATTGTTAATTTTTTGTTTTGTTGATCAGGTGGCTGTGAAATTTTCAGTGAAGCCGCCGAACATGCCATATATCAGAGTGGTAAGTAGGCTGCGCTCTCTATATTACTGCTTCTCAGTCACTGTTTTCAGTTTATAACATCTTATATTCATATTAAATCACAGACTACAAATGAGTTCTCAGTAGGCAAACTGTTCTGATTTGTGGACCAATTCATTATTTGGGAAACCATCTCCATCTAAGTGCCATATTTCCTTTCCATTAGCCTGGTCATCCTAAAAGTGTCCCCATGGAGATCGGCCTGACACTCATGGCCAATATGGGCCCCAGAGTTCCCCAGATCATAAAACTGCTAGACTGGGAGGACAACAAAGACCATTACATCATGGTCATGAAGCGGCCCATGCCTTGCATAGACTTGAAAATTTTTGTGACGCTCCATGGAGAAAGCCTCAACGAGGGGACGGCGCGAAAGCTCATACGGCAGGTCATTGAAGCGGCTAACGTTTGCATCAAGCATGATGTCTTCCATCGGGACATCAAAATGGAGAACCTGCTGGTGAACCAGGACACCATGCAGGTCAAATTGACTGACTTCAGGTGCGGTGCGCTAATGAAGAAATTTGCCTACGAAGTCTTCAGTGGTATGCGTTATGAACCGCTTTGTTAATTATCTCACAGAATTGCATCCTGTATAGTCAACATGCTTAGACAAAATCTCTTTTGTCTCCAGGCACAAAAGCGTACTGTCCACCAGAGGTCACCGTGAACGGCAGATACCATGCAAAGCCAAGGACTGTCTGGTCACTAGGGATCCTCCTATTCATGATGGTGTGCGAATATTATCCCACAGACCACGACCTGGATCTGATCAGTAAGAAGAGCTGGACCAGACCTGGCCTCTCACAAGGTGATCTTATTCAAAGAAGGACAATTTGTATTATAAACCACAAAAAAAGGCTTGCAGCTTGAAAGAGAGCACGTGTAAAGTATCAGCTAATAATCAAACATCTCTCATCTTTTTGCATAGAATGCTGCCAGATGATTTTTGCGTGTCTGCAGTCTGATCCACAGCAGAGAATCAATCTGGAGAAGATGCATCTCCATGACTGGTTTAAGGTAGTAAGATGAGCTGGATGTTTTTTGTCGTTTCTGGTTTGGTTTGATCATCAGCCATAAACTTCTTGCCAAGTCAAAATTTTGCTAATGTATACTATTTAGACTAATAACGCTGATTTGTTTTTGGTTTCAGGTCATGGAGTAAGCCATGAAGAACAGCTTCTGTCACGGCCACCCTGTTGTTTTCTGTCTTTGGTCAGCTTTGCATCTGGCGGGCTGACATGAGTGGCCTTTCCATCCCTCCACTCACTCAAATTTTGTAAGATAAGAGTATAAGATAGATAAGTGTTTAGATAAGTGATTTTAGATAAGTGTATAAGAAATTATAAGAAACTTTGTAAGAAAATGTATAATAAAGTTCATAAGAAAATTTGCCATGTTTTTTTGAGGTGTCTTGAGTCATATTAGAGTATATGTTAGGACATCCAACATAGAAGGTGGATACAAATTTTTAACTAAATGAATCATACGGTTATAGTAGTAGTGGTTTTTCAGTTGTATCGCCCCCATTCGCAGAATTTTATTTAACTTTGTATGCTTCGAATGACCTGTTGTCTATGTGTGTCTAGTTTCATTAAACATGGATATTGTCACAGGAAAAACATTTTGACAAAATGTATATTTTAACAGCAATGCATTCCATAAAACCTGCCAAATGTTGTGATATGATAAACAAATGAAGAGATTTCATAAGTCATATTAAAAATACACGCTAAAAACATCTGGATTGATTGATAAATATATAAACCTGGTTATTGTGCATTTGAAACACATTCAGTTTATTACAATTGCAGAAATCTTCCTCATTTCAAGCACTGTCAAATATGCATCACATTAAGTTTATTCGTTTGTTAAAATTGTGTAATCCAAATATTTTATATGCAATTCAAATATGTCAATCTTAAATTTAGGTCGAAATATTTTTTGAACTGCAAGCTTAAACCCGACCATCCAAACCAAAAGGAACCAAAAAAGTAGTAGCATTAGTTGTATTTCAGGTCCCAAAAAAGACAAGGGAAAAAGAAAGTGTGAGAGACTAACATGTTCCCAAAGCCGATCCAACATAAAGACAGCCTGCGTGTTCTTACAGTGCAGTCGTGGTATGTATGAAAAACTGAGTTTAAGCTCTGCTTGTTGCCATGTTACGGATGGCCCAAAGGGTGGCGGGGAGCAGGGGATGTGGGTTTTTGATTTAAGACTCTGTAATAATTCAACGTTCATAGCAGTCGCAGTCCACGGCCTAACTTTTCAACACATCCCAAACTGACTGGCACATCTGAGGCTTCAGCCCAGCCCTCTTCTGGCTTATCTGCGGCTTCATCTCTCGCTGTGCAGACTTACGCTTGACAACGCCATCACTGAAAGACACAGAGTTGCGTTTGTCACCTCTACCGCTAATATTTATGGTTCTTTGGAGGCTTCTGCAATTCTTGCAGCCTTCCAGGCTTAGCCTTTGGCTCTAATTGGCCCTTCAGGCATGATGAAGAGAAATGCCATCCTGCGGGAGACATCACAACGCTCTCCAAGAAGAGCATGGCAAGGCAATGAAACGTCAAACCTAGTGTTTGCTTTGGATGGGAATCAGCTTTACAGCTCTCCCATTTAGAACAGGAGAGATCCAAGAGCAGTGGACAGCTTGGACAATCGGTTTAAGTCTTGCCCAGATTACAAATCACCCCTATTCTCGGATAAAAGTTTAACATTTCAAAATCATCCACCTGGAAATTGCGAGTACAGAGCATGAATGATGGGGAAGACCTGCATAGGATCACAATGACCTCGAATCACACCTTTGAGGATACACGTGTACAAACACTCGCCCTCTGGAAACACAGAGACGTCTTAGAGGGGAAAAAACGGCAAGCTTACCTTCTTTTAAGACACAAGGCCACTAAATCCAAGGGACCAAGTAAAGAAATTGTGAAAGAATAGACCTGTAAAAACTGGATTTCCACCACAATACATAACTCAAGGTGCTTCAGGTACAAAAGTTGGGAGAAAAAGATATTAAAGGGGTCATAGGATGCTAAATGCACTTTTACAAGTTGTTTGAACTGAAATGTGTGTTGGCAGTGTGTGTACACAACCACCCGATCATATCAACTTGTGAAAAACGGGCATCCTATGACCCCTTTAATGCATGATGACATTTTCATTTAAGCACACAATATTATTCCATATTATTTTAGAAATCAAAAATGATTGGTGAATTATGGGTGAAATAATGTTCCATTGTCATTCAATGTAACATATATTTATGTAAAAATTAAACAATTTCTGACCTGTGCATAATAAAATATATAAAAGAATAAGTGTTCATACTAAATTTTATTTTAAATGATTAAAAATGAATGCATTTTGATTCTTGTTCTAAATATGCCTGACAATATTTTTTTGGTATATGAACTATTGTCACACTGAATGACATTTAATGGGTGTTTTCTATAGATCAAGATAGAAATGTATGATGGTCATTTTTTGCTCAGAAAAAATACAATTAAACAGGACACATTCAAATGTATGGAAGAAAAAAAACATTAAAGCTGTATTAAATATCGTTTTGATGCTTAAAAAAACCCGTTTGTTTTTGTCCCATAGGCATTACAACAAATAATGCGATATTACATATTACTATACAGTTTAGGCTTTTTTTTATAGTTAATTTATTATATTAACATTATGGTAATGACAACTGGAAAACATGCTTGATTGTGATATTAGTCACAATGCCAAAAATCCTAATTGACTTAAAATAGACTATTCTTTTTGAATACATAAACGCAATATAATAAAAATAATAATAATAAAACTTAATTCCACCTTTTGGTTTCTGGAGTGAAATATGACCAAGACAGCTTCTTGCGAGACTCACCCGATGACGGCAGCACAGCTGGTGATGTTTTCAGAACAGTCATCATCTGCATCGGCGTTCTGGCAAAGCTGTCAGTAGGTCCAACCTGCACACTGATAATGAGTGAAGTCCCGCAGGTGGACACCCCCACCAACCACACGAAGGAATGCCTGCCATTAGGCTTTTTTTTATAGTTAATTTATTATATTAACATTATGGTAATGACAACTGGAAAACATGCTTGATTGTGATATTAGTCACAATGCCAAAAATCCTAATTGACTTCAAATAGACTATTCTTTTTGAATACATAAACGCAATATAATAAAAATAGTAATAATAAAACTTAATTCCACCTTTTGGTTTCTGGAGTGAAATATGACCAAGACAGCTTCTTGCGAGACTCACCCGATGACGGCAGCACAGCTGGTGATGTTTTCAGAACAGTCATCATCTGCATCGGCGTTCTGGCAAAGCTGTCAGTAGGTCCAACCTGCACACTGATAATGAGTGAAGTCCCGCAGGTGGACACCCCCACCAACCACACGAAGGAATGCCTGCCATTCCACACTTCATAATTAATGGTTTTCTGTGGCTGTTTAACATAAGCGCAAGCTGACAGCCATCACATAAAACACTCAAGGAATGTGTCAACTCATCCATCCCAGCATAATTTATACACTGAGTAGACTCAGTGCTAAAAATAATAGAATGAGCAAAAATGTGATCTTACAGCCAGGGATGCAAGAATATAAAATATGAATTAAACAGATTAGGTTATTTAGATGCTATTTACCATCTTATTTAGGTAAAACCTAGTAACAGAGCTGCAGCTCTACACAGAAAGGATTTCAGTGGTCACCATACTATTGAATTTCCCATTGGTCATAATTGAAATGCTTATCAGGAGTAGGTCACTAAAAAGTATTATAAACTAAATCACACAAAGGGAAATCACATTTAAACAATGGTCATAAATCTACATTAAACCCAAACTGCATTTAGTCAAGCTCAATAAAAACACAAACAATCTGTATCAAGGCCAACAGGCATATGCGTTTAAAACAATGGCTGTGCGAATTCTGCAGCTGCCGAAATTGAAGTGCTAACACAAGATGTGTTAAACCAGCCCAAAGTTAAACCAGCAGGGGAAAAAAAGACTGAAATGGGAGAGTACTATTTAGTTCAAGTGCAAGTATTAGTGCTGGGCGGTATACCGGTTCATACCGAATATCGGTGTTTATTTTTGTTATGATATGAATTTTTAAAATACCGCAATACCAGTGTATGTCGCTTAAACAACGGTCGGAACGCGACACTGTTTGAAAGGGGTTCCTTTTCACTGTTACTGTGGTGAGGGAACAGCTGTATGTTACTAAGCCTGAACGTTCCAAAACTGAAGCTGTAGAACTAATAGAACGTGATGACACAGAAGAACTCATCCACAATATCCACACTGACCGCCACAAATATCCACCGCCCCTGCCATCAGCTCCCGCGTCTCACACACAAGAGCGCGACTTTAGCACTAGATTTAGCAACTTTCAGACCCTTTTAGCAGCTTTTTCCATAGAATATTGATATTGAATATACCTAGCGACTTTTTTGGATAAACCTTAGCTATGGTTCAGTTGGAAGATTTCCCGCGAACGCGAGGTCTGACTTTCCCGGAGAAGTGTCACCTCTCTCGGCGTCTGTTCTGTGCAGTGAGCGGCAGAGAAGCAGCGCATTCAGTTGGC